TGCTTTGTTGTTATATATACATAAAAGCAACAAAACTGGTTTGGTTCCATCTTAAGTTTAAAAACCAAATAGAATAGAATTGGATGCCCTGTAGGAAGAAGGCAGTGTGGACAATGTTCTGCTGAGAAAACATGGGTCCTGCCATCTATCTGGATGTTAGTTTGACACGTACCACAAACCTAAGCAATGCTGCAAATCCAATAGTGGATCCGACCCGTTGGAGTACTCCCTGATGGCTATAGCCTCTTTCAACAGGGTGACACGCCCTACTACAAAGCAGAAATGTTTCAGGAATGGTTTGAGGAGCACAACGATGAGTTTGAGGTTGTTGACTTAGCCTCCAAATTCTCCAGATCTCAATCCAATCAAGTATTTGTTGACTGTGTAGGTCAAACAAGTCAGATCTATGAAGGCCCTACGTCACTGATCAGTGCTGTTAAAATCTTGGTGCTAGATACCGTGGCACACCTTCAGGGGTCTCGTGAACTCCAGGTCAGAGTTCTTTTGGCAGCAAAAGGGGGACCAACACAATATTAAGCAGATCTTCATAATGTTATGCCTGATCGGTGTATGCTCCCGAACTCTGCTGAAGCTCTGCCGTGTTTATTTGCTCATTTGAAAAATAGAGGACCCGTATTTGTGTTTTTAGGATAAGCTAGTCAAAAAAGTGCACATCTAAACATCAGCTCCTTTGTAATCAATGGATGCTTATCGTGAGTGCCAAGGGCTCGGATAGTGATAGAGTCTATAAAGGGATCAAATGTTGGTTCAGCACATCTAATGTTCCTTTTGTAAAAAGAAAAAAGAAAAAAAGAAAGGAAAAGGTCTCAAATATTGCACACAGAAATCATAAAGAAAAAATCTGTTATCCTTTTTCTGTCTAATGTCTAAACATGCTCCACAGTTGGAGACAAGCCCAGGTCATTTGATTGGAACCTGACCTGTGAACCCTCCAGTGATTCCCCCTCTCCAGACTTTTATTAGCACTGGTCATTTATAGCACTCTTTCAAGCTAATGCTGGACACACTATCCCGAGTGTCCCATGTTCTGATTTTGGTTGAGGATTAAGATAAAGTACATGATTTTTTTGTGGCAAACAATTCAAACCACAAAACAATATATAGATGACATAATTCAGAACACTGCAAAACTACTTTTTCGGTGCTTTCGCCCTGGCATGATGATGTTGACACTGTACCACACTCATTGACCCTTAATTTAAGTGAAAGCTGTTGCTAATGTTAGCTTAAAACTAGATTATATAATTTTTTGATGTTTTATTATTCACTTTATGTTATGCAGCCGATGCTGACACGGATATTTGTTCAGTTAAAAATCTAATATGATCAACCAATAACATATCTACGAAATATTTTTTTCTTTCAGATACACAAAGCACAAACACATTGCCTTAGCATTTGTTTTATTTAGTTATTTATTTACGTGTTTAAACGGAACAAACACAAAAACAGTTTTTTGTGTTTGTTCCAAACACATGTTGCCAACTGGGAACTTGTCAGGAAAAAAAGTCTCAGATTACTTGTTTACGCAGATAACTTTGACTCTGCTCTATCCACCCTGTTTCCATTAGGGATGTTGTGGAGTGCCCTCTGGTGGGCAAACTATGCAACATCGATACTCATAATGTGGTTAAAGGTTGTTTTTTTCCATCTTGTCTTTACTTTTTGAATAGATTTTTAAAATCTTTGTTCAATTCTTAAATTAAAACATAGTGCTCACCATTTTTGTGTTTAATATTAAAGAAACAGCAATTCTCTTTCATAGATGCCTTGATTATTTACCTGATTATAACTGCTGGAAGACCAGCTACACTGATCCCTGTATTAGAGTATCTTTTTTTAACCCTCAGTAGTGCTTGACACTATTACGTCAGATTTAACAAGGAGTGAATGAAGCCTAAAAATCCTGTCCTGCTAAAGGAACACACCAGAGACATTTATCCAACTGCTGACAGTTGCTGTAGCCAGTTTTAAGCTCAGGTTGACGTTCATATCAACACTCACATTATCTCTCTCTTTCTCTTTCACTAGTATTGAGAAGCTCTTTGGCTGAGTGCTGGGATCAGACTATACACTTACTGTCCAATCTGACTTGTAAAAAGCAACAAAACTCTGTCAGTATTGTGTCTTGGATGCTTCAGGAATCTAAGACAGAAAGTCCTATGTGAAGGTTTTTTTTTTTCACATTTTCTAGTTTAGGTGTGTCTAGAATGATCAACAAAAACGAGAGGCACAGTTTGAGCGGTTTCATCTCCTCACATGTCTAAACAGTCATTTTGAGTAATGACAAACTCTGCTCTGGGGTGAAGTCACTTGTTTGGCCTTTAAATAATATCTAGAGAAGAAAAGTTATAACAATTGAATTTTCCAGTTTCAATATTGGCACATTCAATATTTTCAAATTGACACTATGGTTAGAAAATAACCAACTTGCAAAGACAACTATGGTCAGTGTGGGCACCAGAGAACTTGAATAATTGTTTATTCAAGTCTTTCATTTTTGAGGGTGGAACACTGTGCTGTGACTGTAATCAGGAGGAAAGCTTCCTGTTCAGCACCCACCCTGCATCCATTGTGCCCCGGTCACTCAATACTGATTCCAAGTGGCTAAGATTCGCCGCACAGACCACGTGACATTATGACAGACAATGCTCTTTTCTGAAAAAGCTCTCGAGGCTTTAAATAGTGCCCGGTGATATGTCTGGCTGATTATGTCATCTATGTATGAATCCAGACTTTGTCTTTTGATGACAACCAGATTGTTCAGACATACCTACCAAGATGTCATCCAAGGGTTAGTATAGTCCTGTTGTGAAGCCTTGAGCTTTTTCACCATATTGATGTTTGGAAAGCAGGCATGACACATGTGGGGTAAATATGAGTAGGAGCCACTTATCAGTACTTTACCCCTCTTTTCTTTACCTGAATCAAGAAAGTTACAGATTAAACACCACATATTATTCAGCAAGCTTAAAACTAGCAACTGAGACCATGAACTCACAAGAAACTCATTGCCTCAGGTTATAAATCAAAGCCTGTACACTTTGATACAATCAGTTGATTTTTGCAACCAGAGGAGTCTCCCATTCCTAGAAAGAAAGAATGCAGGTTTAAGGCATCTGCGTACTGGCAACCTTTTGATTACCCCCCGAGTCTCTACCTTCTGAGTTTACTTTGCTTACTTTATCACTCGTTTGCATCTTCCTATCACAGATAGGCATCTTCTCCGGTTGCCAGTGGTTTCGTAACATCTTTCAGTCACTGTAAAACTACTATTGTATTTTAATAAAATATGAACAGTGTCTTTACACCAGTTAGTATCTCTGGTGTTGCCTAGCAAGAGCACCAGTCAGCTAGTCGCAAGCTTATGCGTTGGTATCGAGAAGAGGCATGAAAAAAAAATCTACAGCTATGATGCTTTTAAAAACAAGCAAGAAAGAAATGTGGGTAATAGACTTTGAATGTGAAGTTATGTAGCCTTCCTCCACTCCGAAGACAGAGTTGGCCTCTATCATGTATACAAATTCTCTCGCACACATACACAGACACAAAACAGCAGCTGCCAGCACCTAGTTTGGAGTCGAGGCTCCACTGGGTGTCTATTTGTAGAATGGAGTCATGTAGTAAGACTTATACTGAAGGACTCCGACATGTTTCAGCTGGACGCACAATGACACATGGGACTTGAACATCGTGGTGCTGACGCTTTACAGGTTTAAGCAATCATCAGCCATCCCTTACTCTGCTGGATTAACACACTGGCTGCTCTCCAGTGTGGAGAGTCAAACATGTTTGCCTCACTGGAGCGTATTTGCGGATATAGCCTGGTGTTGTTTTGATGGTTTGGGAAGTGGTCATTAATTTGAGATGCCAGCTTAGTGTAGCCACATAAAGAGCTATCAAAGAGAATTGTGGCTTTAAAGGAATGCCCTTGGCTTGGACCAATATAGGGTAGAAAGATGATTAACAAATTTATAATTGTAGCCCTAGACAGCTTCTGATGTTTCAGACTGATATTGGAGAAGATTCTTACTATTTTCTCAGTTGAATTCAAGTTTGAATCCTGCGGAGACTTTTAAAGAACAAAAGCAGTTCATAAACGGTGTTTTTGGAGCCGGTGAATATGAAAGTGTTCAGGGATTCTGACTCAGCGAGGCAGCTTGCATTGATAAAGACTTTGACATGATACCAAACTTTTTTTTTCTTGTGTGTGAATTTCCTGCTTTGCACAACAACACAACAGCTGGAATAGGGAAGAAACAGGGATGTTTGTGTGTAAAAAAAAAAAAAATAATAATAATAATAATAATAAAGGGAAATGCGTGCAATTAAAGCCACTTCTGTTTTTTCCTGCATGTGTTAGCTACTTACCTCGTGTCAGGAGGCTGATTACGCATTCAAGTCTGGCCCCTGCAGGCTTGCCGAACACACTGCTGCTTGGTTTCTTTCACAACTGTGTTTATCCAATGATGTCTTACATGAGATGGAATAAACAGTAATCTGTTACACTGTTATTCTCTCTGTTCCTGGTTTGTACTGGACTCTTTTAGGCTCTTTGCGTCGCTGTCTGACATTCCCGCTTTGCGCAATCCTCAGTTGGAGCCACATTGTTAGATCTCCCAGAAAGCTGAGAGCTCCAGCTGTTTAACACAAACACACACACACAGAGATTGATAGCATGAGGAGATATCAGGCGAAGACAGTTTATATATTAGGGATTTCAAAAATTAAAATAATGCTGTGTGTGTGTGTGTGTAAGTGCGATCTGACACAGTGACCTCTGCCTGGACAGGCGTCAGGGTGGGCCTTTCAATTTCAGCAACCTGCCCAAGAATAGACAGCGAGTTGGAAAAGTGTGTGTGTGTGCTGAGAGTTGATGGGGGAGTGAGAGAAAGGGGGGGAGTATGTCCATGAGAGAGGGTGTGTGTGTGTGAGAGAGAGAGAGAGAGAGAGAGAGAGACTACTCCCAGCGTAGTGTGATTGGTGTTTTGCTCTCCTTCTTGCTATGTGGATTACGGCTCTCCCTGCCTACTGCATTCCTGCTGCTGGAAATGAACACTGAAGCATCCCAAAGCATTTTTACTGGAGTGTAAGGACTTTTAATAGCATTTCTCTTGAGCCGGCGGTAGGCGGACTATTGCTGTTAATTCAGATAAGCATGGATATGAACGGACGTGGAATGCCTCCATCGATACCTGAGGATGAAGCTGTACACCACAGTCCTCACAGCGAGATGAACGGCTACCATCAGAGGCTTCAGGGCGGTGGAGGAGATGGAGCGGAGGATGAGGTCCCCGTGTCCAAATCACAGAGGCGGAAGAGTGATGTGAAAGTCTACAAGGAGTTTTGTGATTTTTATGCTCGCTAGTAAGTAGATCAGAAGTAAGATTTTATTGTGACTTGGAGACCTCTAACCACAGATTTCTGTGAGTGTAGTAAGAAAAGATATACCTCAGTGTAGGATGTTGAATGTGCAAATTGTGCCTTGAGGTGTGTAGTAGTCTTCTGCTTTCCCCTTTCAGCTGCCCAACTGCCAAAATATCGACAGGACTTAAAGAGTTGTCTTCTTTGCCTGGCTGTATGATGACTGGTATCATCTCATTCTCAGCTTAAGAATATGCTTTTTGTAACCAACATGCCAATTGAAGTGGTAGCAGTGCACACAAAAAGGGATTATGACAGAGAAATTGTGGGTTAAGGACTTTACTCTGCTCATTTGCTGACGTAGCGTTAGTGTGTTAACCCCGAGCTTACGGCCGTGTTACAGAATGTGAAGAATTCTGATTTATTTACTGGGCTTTATCAGCTTAAGCTTCCTTAGGTGCCATGTTTGTGCAGGGATAGCTCTGAGCGCTACAGGAGGGAGCACACAGGAAGAGTTATTTTTGTGCCAAGGGGGGGAGTTGTTATGCAAAGCAGAATATGCTGGCTGGCATTTGAAGTATGTGTGCCTGAAACACAGGAAGGCTAAATATACATACTTTATTTCTGACTGATCAGGGTACATCATCACATGTGGGAAAGCATGAATGTAGGGTCACCCACAGGTTTCTCCAAAGGACGCTTAGAGGCCTGTCATCGGAAGCAGTCAATAGAGACAGAAGAGACAGAAAATTTTGTTTTGAGGAAAGCAAGAGCCGTGTCAGTCGTGTGAAACATTGAAATGGAACTTTTCAATATAATATTTCTTTTCGTGTGCTAAGACAGTCATTTCATCCACTGATTTTAGCTCTATCTTTGAGCCTGCCCCTCCCTGTAATCCAACTTTTCGCTGACTGGCTGCACCTAGCAAACAAAAGGTTTGAACAGCAGATGGGTGGGGTTTCTGTGCTCGCAGCCTAAAATGGTCATGTTAGGAACATCCGTTCTCAATGACATCATACAGGGGCCGAGTCAGGAAACCGAGCTGTTGGTTCATGGGGATTACTGGCACATGTGCTGACATCATTTTTTAAAAATTTGGCTATTTTTACTGTGAGCCCTCACCAGTGTAATAAGGCAATTCTTATTTGTAAATCTTTGTTGAAATCATTCTAAGAAAAGCTGAAATTTACCATTGCATGGTCAGAACAGTCAGGTTTTTTATATTAAAGATATAAGAAGAATGAGAAAACACTGAAAAATCAAATCAGAAGACCTGAAGATAAATGGAGACCAGAGAAGGCAGAGTAGAGAGGACAGATGGTGCTCATAAAAAACGATTTTCTTTATCCACTCTTATCCACTTTATATTCACTGTGGAGTTTTAAGAAATCTGGACCCATTTTAATTGTATTAGAAATCATTTTGCCTTCTCTTGACTTGTCCATATTAGCAGTTCATGCAGAAGCTGGTGAGACTTTTTTTTCAGCCTACACGGCCTTAAAAAGAGCCGGATTGTCATTGATTGCACCAGGCTTAAAGAAACAACGTATTTTCTCTGAAATCTGCATCTCTGGCTTGTCTTTGGCTCACACAGAGTGCTAGAAGCTGATAGCAGAGTGGAAATGCCTAAAGGATGTATCACTTCCTCCCACCAAGCCTGTGGACAGGGCAGGGCTCTCAGTGTGTTTGATATCAGCCCAGACAGGGCATATAAAACAATATGCGTCTGATAAGCATGTGAGGAGTGGAAACATCTTGTTTCAATGTGTTCATGTTAAAAGAACCTCCACTTACTCTACCCGTTTGATGTAGCGCGCATTCTTAAAGCCATTTGGCAGACATTTGGAATGATGACCAGTTTAGAGTAAAGCCCTAAACAGTGAGTTAAAATGTCTTGAAGTTTATGGAATTCTTGATGATTCCCAAGTTGGTGTGAGTTTAAATGAACAGATGGCATCACTCCATAAACATCCTTCAACGGCCTTGTGTGCGTACTTCTGTTGCTTAGATACACTGTGGTATTGTGACCTTTAAAACAAAGCAGCGAAGCCGGGACAGTCCCGCTATTCCCTTGCCGTTGTTCCTTTATCTCTGCAAATGTCTGCACATTCCCATTCACCTTCAGTTTGTCTTAAGTGTTAGGAGGTGTTGTTATTCTGAGCAGGGGGCATATGCTTTTATTAATTAACAGTGAATGTTGCAGTTTTGGCATTTGATTGCTTTCTGTGCTTGAGGTCGAGATGAAAGTAGTCCAAAGTTCAGCCTGAGTATAATTTGTAACAGAAGTGGGTTTGGAGAGTTATGACAATATAAAGGATCAGATTGGGGAGAATTGTGTAGAGATTGCCATACCGGATTCATTTGGTCAGATCTCTGTGCTCGGTCTAACAAATCCTACCTTTAGGAGTAAATACAGACTGGTCAGATGCACACAGGACCAATCAGCCAAATATTAGATGATAGTATAGCCAAAACTTGTCAACATCTATAAAAACTAGATGCTGTAAATTTGAGCTGACTGTTTGACAGATGTGTTGCACATTTTTCATAATAGATTCATTCAGTTTGAGAGAGAGCGTAGTTTGCCCGTTGCCAGATCAGATTGGCTTGTGTTCCATTTTGTAAATCAAAATCAAAACATCCAGCTGTGTGCCAGCTGTTCATGTGTCAGATTTTCTTTTTATTTAAATGAACTAAACGTTTGGGGGTTTTAACTGTGTGTTGTGACAAATTTTGCAGATGTGATGGTTGACAGAAGAAAAGATTGCAAATAATTCTTTTTGTTTTTTGAGGATGGTTTCACGAATCTCTGTTGCAGGTTTTTGGGTGTGCCTCATAATGTGCTGCTTGTTCTGGCACCGGTTTTTGCAACATAAGGAAATATTAGCCTGGGGCCCACCCCCAGTGATGCATTACAGTTGTGTTTTTAGCAGTACAGCAGTAAAAAAAAAAAGTAAGGACTGGTTGTGTGGCTGGCAGAGTTGCACTCAGAATACAGCACATGGAAACAAGAGGATTAAACTAAGCTAAAAATGCTTTTATTAAACTAAAATGAAGTATAAAATAACACAAGCTAAGGAAGGTATAAAAAAAACCCTTTAATAAAGATAATGCGAGGGAGAATACAACCATGAGAGAAGATGTGACAAAAACAAGGGACGACTGAGGCAATAGATACAAACAAAGGATAACGAGAGAATGGGAAACAGATGAGAACACAGCTGGAGATAACTAGCATAATGCCTAAGGAGGAAGTAAAACTAGACACAAGATACAGGGAGGAACAGACACCAAAATAAAACAGGAAAAGACTGACACACCCAGACTAAGACAACCAGGCTTAACACAGACAGAAGATAAAACATGGAGACCAAAGACAAGGAACAGAGTGGGAATACACAAAGGGGATACACAACCTTCAATTAACTAAATGCACAGATAATTGAACAGTAACCTTAAGATCATAAGAGACAGCCTGAATGTCAACAAATAGAGTACAGAACCATGACACCAAGAGTAATCAAAAATACGAAACCAGAGAAACCCAAAGTTTCTCAAAACAAACTATTCTGATTGTCGAGCAAAACAGCAATAGCTGTTCTGTGTCCTGTGTACTGTTTGTTTGTATATGTGTCTTTTTGGCTGCTGTTACAACCAAATTTGCCCTTGTGGGACAATTAAAGGATTATTCTATTATATTCTATTCTAATAGCTGCTGCCTGTCTCAGGTTTCCAAACTTTTTAAAAAAAAAAATCATTAGACCACATCTGTTCTGTTTTGTTTGGGGTTTTTTGTTCTGTTTTGTTTTCTGTATGAATCCATGTTAGTGCATGCACTCACATTTCTTGGATGGACGAGCAGTAACTTTAGTTTGTTTCCCAAATCAGCTGAGCCAAAATAAACCTAAAACCTTGTGTGTGTGTGTGTGTGTGTGTGTGTGTGTGTGTGTGTGTGTGTGTGTGTGTGTGTGTGTGTGTGTGTATATCTTTCAGCTATTATGATGTTGGTGGACGATACTACATTAGGTGTGTCCTGGCATGACCCTTGTTATTATTATTCTTTAGGGAAATATGTTACAGAAAGAAATTCCTTACAGATGTAAAATCAATGGTAGGAAACAATAAAATATTTTTTATAATTAAGTTAGAGAAATAAGGTTGGACTTATTAAATAGGGGGGAAAACCCTGGGTACCCTAAAGAGGAGCCGTCTAGAGGACTACTCATACATTAATAGCAGTTCTTTTGTAAGCCATAGGAGTTGATGCAGATAAGAAAGTAGTTTACTCAGTATGGCAAAAACAATTTGCAGGGAAGTGGCAACCAGAGACCATGGAAATGAATATTTGGTAACCACAGGTGTGTCACGGTTCTGGGTCAGTTTGACCCAGTATTTTGAGTTGTCATGTTTTTGCAGGTTTAGTTTAGTTCCATGTGTCATTTTCTGTCTGTCTCTCTATGTCGAGTCTGCGTCTTAGTGTGATGGTTTCTTGTTCCTGTTTTATTGTGAAGGTCTGCGTCTCATGTGAGTGTGTTCAGTTTTACCTCTGTCTCGTCTTGTTGATAATTCCCAGCTGTGTCCACCACCTGTGTGTAATTCCCCTGTGTTTCTCTGTGTATTTAAGTCGTGTCCTCTGTCATTGTAGTTGCTGGTCTGTCTGTGTATCCACCATGTTTCTTCCGTGTGTTCCCCGCTGTCACCATCTTATGCCGTCGTCCACCTTGCTTCATGTTTGAGTTCCGGTTCGTATTCAGTAGTTTAGTTGTCTCCAGTCTAGTTTATTTCGTGCTCCATTTGCTGTTTGTCTATATTTATTTCGTGTTCAATAAACCACCTTCACTTCTCCACTACTGCCTGCGATTGGATCCTCATTTGTTATTTTCACACGGCTCTTCTCACCCGCCGTGACAAGGTGAAGTATCGGTTGGCAACACAAAGTAGGTAGGAGCTGAGATAAACTTTGTGACTGACTGAAGCAACCATGAGTGAGAGTAAAGAAAAAAAAAAAAAGAGAGTAAAGAATACTGTTGACTGAGATATGACCTGGTACTTAATACAATAGAGGGCTTACCTTGGATACTAGAGCCTGGGATGGTGGCAAGCAACCAGCAGTCACCTTCAAAGCAATGCACGGAGTGACTTGGTTCCCAGCTTTAGGATTAATGAAGGCCAATAAACCGGATTATAGAATACACAGTTATGTTTTCTTAGCATTATGAACCACCTTTAAACCACACAATGATGCCTGCAACAGACAAAAGGCAATGCCCTGACTCAGAGTAAAGTATGGTGTCATCTGCATAAAGCTGCATTTTAGCAGTAAATCAATTCTTTTAAATTGTGTTTTTAAAAATGGTAAGAAACAGGGGTCTAAAATTTAACCGTGGGGGACTGTCCAGAAAACTTGACTTGTATCCATCTGTATAAACACAGTGAGATATATCCGCAAGCTAGCTCCTGAACACAGTCACCCAAACCAACGTCCCTGAGTCTGCCTAAGAGCAGGGTTTGCTCAAGAGAATCAGATGCCTTGGATAGATCAACAAACATGGTAGCACAATGTGTCTTTCTGTCCAAGTGGATAATAATGTCATTTGTTACTAACATACCTGCTGCTATGGCACTATTTCTTTATTTGAAGCCAATAATATCTTGAGCGAAGCGAGTTTTGCTTCAGTTGCAAAAGGTTTTTGTAATGATTATATTTTATTTAAGGTTTATATCAACTAATCTTTTGAGTACAGAAATATACTTTGTCCTTGATTTTAAGTTTGTTTTTCTTCTCCTCAGCAACATGGCCAATGCACTGGCCAATGCCATGTGTGAGCGCTGCAAGAGTGGCTTTGACCCAGTCGAGAAGATCGTGAACAGCAACGGGGAACTTTACCATGAACAGTGCTTTGTGTGTGCCCAGTGTTTCCAGCAGTTCCCAGAGGGGCTCTTCTATGAGGTAACATCTTTTTCTTTACTAATCCCATAAAATATGCATGATGGTACCATGGGGGTTTGTGCATTATAATAAACACCTGCTAATTCTGTCAACTTTTTATAGCAGATATGCTTCATTGCCTAACAAAGCTTACAATGCAGCTTAACAATAAATTGGCCTTCTTTATATAGTTAGATCAATGTTTAGTGTCCAGGAACTGTCCAGTTAAAGTAAATAAAGAAGGGCGAGCTCAACCTTAAAGGACTATTGGATTATTAGAAGCTCTCTTCCAGTAAACCGTTTGCATACTTGACACAGGGCCAGATGTTTTACCGGCTCCAGAGAACCTGTTAGCGCTGATCAGTAAATAAACATCAAAGCCAAGGATGTTAGATGTCATTCCTCATGCTACATGCTCCTATAAATACTCAGATAAAGATTAGCTGCCACATTGTGTGACAGTAAATACTGGGATGGCTGGTAATGAGTTTTTTGTTTTGCTTTTGAAGTATCAGCATCAGTATCAGCCTCACAACTTGTGCATCCTTGATGATTGTGCTATACTTGTCATTTTGTCAGCTTTTGCTCATCACTGCTGTGTCAGTTGATACATATTACCTGTAAAATGTAGATTTAAAAGAAAACCCTATTGATAAGAATGATAATAAAACTCTTGTTTTAAAGGGAAGACTTAATATATAAAGTTTAAATACAGTTAAATGTATACAAAGAAATATGTACAAAAGCCTGTTTATTCTTTTTATATTCTAAAACTGGGTTACAACAGTGTGGGTTTAATTCCACCTGCCGAACTGATTGAAACACCCCTTCTGTTATTTGACCCCCACCCCCAAACCCACTTTCTTTTCCTGCATATCCTTTAATCCTTCAAAGGAATTATCATTTTTCGTCATTAGACAGTCCATTTTTCCGACACCCCTGTTACTGGATTATAGCCTATAAGTGTCACATTCATGATATAATAAAATATAAACTGTGGCAGTCACTCATCCAGATTAACCTTTAGAAAGCTCGGTCATGACACTGCTGTTACACCCAGACAGTGGGACGAGAGATTACCCAGTGGTGCGTGAAGTCAATTTATGCATTTCAGTTTTCTCCAACTGAGAAACAATGACACTGTGCACTCATAAGGTAGCAACTTGTCAATCAAAATATGTACTTTTTTGTTAAATTTCACTCTAACTGGCACCTTAAATAACCAAATAAACATCACGCTGTGCTGAACTCTTGAAACTAGTGATGCATGTGGTTGCAAGTGGATGCTTGAGTTTTATGGCAGTTGCTGGGTAAATGTCTAAAACTTACAGACCGGTTAGTGAACCCCTGGAAGCCACATGGAAGTCACTAAGGCAAAATGGCAAAAACCTCCAAACTGATTTTTTTGAGGTATAGCATGTTGCTCCAGTTGTATTTTGAATAGAAGTGATGGACTTGTCTACAAACATTTAACAGCTACTCTCCAGTAGTAAAACTGTGGAAAGGGCAACACAAACCAGAAATGCAAACAGTTTGCCCTCAAAATCATCGATTCGTTGTACTGCTGCTTGGCTGGAAGTTAGCAGGTATAGTTTGTCCAGATAACAATAAAGTACTAACAGTGGCCGTGGCAATCACTAGGAGGTTTTTAGTGCAACACTTTAGTTTAGTTGAAGACCCAGCAACCAGCAACGGCAGACGTCTCTCGAGCAATCTGCAGATGATGTCATGTAAGAAACCCCAATAGAGTCCGATCTCTTTTTTTTAAAACCAGAATCGCCCCCTGCTGGCCACTACAAAGAACTTCAAGGCTACATCCACCTTTTATTTACAGTCAGTGGTTCACACAGTATAATTAGAAGTTTGTGTATATTTTAGCTATTTGAGCTTTTTTTTTTAAATGATATTGTTTGTCAGTGTTATGACTGTTCTAATCTATTTATGTGATCTGTTGACAGTTTGAAGGCAGGAAGTACTGTGAGCATGACTTCCAGATGCTGTTTGCACCTTGCTGCCACCAGTGTGGTGAGTACAGGGAATTAATTAAATCCATCTTTTTTACCTGCTACATTTGTTTCAAAGGGAGGATGTGGACTTTGTTTCTCTTGACATAATTAATGTCTGCGTAACGTTTGCATTATCATGAACACACCTATTTAAACGTTTTTGTTTTTTTTTTCTCCCAGGTGAGTTCATTATTGGCCGTGTGATCAAGGCAATGAACAACAGTTGGCATCCAGACTGTTTCTGCTGTGATATCTGCCAGGCTGTGCTCGCAGATGTTGGATTTGTTAAGAATGCTGGAAGGTCAGTCATCTACATCAACTCACCACAGTTTCGGTTGGGATTCTTTTTAAATGATGTCTTTTAACAGATATAGAAAGCTACAGTTTTTTTTTCTGTAATGCTTTTTATCAGGTACTTTATATAGAGCCTGTCTTACTCTCCCCTGACTTTTATATTGTCTTGGCTCAGCTCTGAAATCTTACACCAAAGCTCATAGATGTAAAACAGCCCTGAATTTTTCCCAACACCTTCCGACAGCGCTGAATGTGAAAACCAAAATATCTGGCACTTTGCTAGCCTCGTAATAAATAGTCAATCTATTGTCCAACCAAAATAAATGTGTGGTGGTTTTCACACCAATGAGCAAGCATCATTTGTTCTGCGTCTTGCAAGCTCTGCACAGGCAGCACCTTTGTTTAAGCCAAAATATTTCAAGTAGTTAAAAGTTCTACATATGAGGAAGTCCCAACCTAATTTTCACTGTTAGCCTCAGTTAATGTATAAAAACATGTCATGGACACATCTAACTCCTGTGAGAAGGATTTATGGAGGATACTTGTATCTGTTTGATTCACTTGAATCACAGAAGACAAAACCAGATGTGGAAAGATCTACAAAACTCAAAATTAGGTGATAAAGCATCTAAACAAGTATTCTGTCTTTCTATATTTCTCTCCCCCTTGCTGTCCCACCAGGCATCTGTGCCGCCCATGTCACAACAGAGAGAAAGCTCGGGGCCTCGGCAAGTACATCTGCCAGAAGTGCCACGCCATTATTGAGGAGCAGCCTCTGCTTTTCAAGAACGACCCCTACCACCCTGATCACTTCAACTGCAACAACTGCGGGTAAACAGAGAATTTCTATTAAAAAGAAAATCACCGTCAAACATGTTTGAAACAATTGTTAAACAAGGAGCATTTTCAGAAAGGCGTATTATTGCTCTCTGCTGGACAGGTTGTGTTATTGCAGCTGTGTGAAGCTATCTGATCATATTCACATATGCACTATTGTGTTGTGTACGTAAATGACAGCTAAATAAATCTCTTCAATTACAGTAAAATGTACTGGGATTGTTTATTGTGGGTTTTTTACCTTTTCAGTAAGGAGCTGACAGCTGATGCAAGGGAGCTGAAGGGGGAGCTCTACTGTCTACCCTGCCACGACAAGATGGGTGTCCCGATCTGTGGAGCCTGTAGGAGACCCATTGAAGGCCGTGTGGTTAATGCAATGGGCAAGCAGTGGCATGTGGAGGTGTGATAATAAAACAACCGAAAAGCATATGAAAACAGCTTTAGTTACATTAACTTGGCTCAATTTATTCACTGAAAATAGAGTCACCTTGAAGGAGGTAATATTTCAGTGTGTTCATTTATTTAGTATGATTCATCAGATTGTATGTGGATCTATTTTAAATCTAAATGATGTATTCTTTGGTTATTTTCCTTTTCTGTATTTAGAACAAACACAGTAATTCTCAGCTGGATTTCATAGAGAAAAGAAAATGATTGCTTTCTATTATCTATATTTTATCCTAGTGAAAAATGTGCCATACTTTTATCCATATTTTTTACCTCCACAGTTACGTTTATTGGCTTTATTTTTCCTATTTACATCTCTATTCTTACATATGTCCTTGCATGTTTTCCTGTCTTCCCTCCTCCACATGTAGCATCATGTGTGCACTGTGTGCGAGCGCCCGTTTCAGGGTCACCCGTTTTATGAGCGAGGCGGTCGTGCCTATTGTGAGAGACACTTTGATATGGTGAGGGGATTAAGCACCGGCCTTGCGTTGGTTACCGCCCCGCCTCCCTGCCTGGCTACAGTCACCCGGCCTCCATACAAGGGTTACACAAGTATAAAAGTTTTCTAATCAGTCTTTCAACTAAAAAGTGGATATCTTGGCAAACTTTTTTTCTTGGGGCCTAATCATACTTCCACCTTAATTTCAAACGAGGTGCTTTTCCTGACTTAACATTTAAGGGTATCTAGAGAGCTTTATTGTCCTGTGACATCTAGAGCTCTGTCTGAGAGTTTATATGTGCTACCAGAAAAAGATACTGGCTGTATATATAGTATTTATTTTGTAAATGAATGTTAGCATTTAAAAAGTGGATCGTAAAACTATTCACCAAAATCAGCTATTTTAAAAATCCATGCCCTCACATTAGTTAATCAAAAATATGTTATCTCGTAGCTGAGATATGATTTTTATTCATTACCATCATAAAAATGTTATATTTTCCCAATATCCTCTAGAGGTCAGTATTCTGACTTCTCAACTCTCTGTATGGATGCAGTAACAAAACCTTTGAAACAACTGATCTATTTATGTTCTGATAATATCTAAGCCGGACTGTGCTGCTACCTTTAACACAGTCTGAGTGTGGGGTACTGTACTGACTGATGGCTGTGCTAACCATGTGTGCCTGGCTTGGGTTTGCTTGCAGCATTTTGTGTGTGCTAAGTGTGAGAAACCTTTCCTGGGACACCGTCACTACGAACGCAAGGGCCTGGCCTACTGCGAAACGCACTACAACCAGGTAACACACACTGGTACTTGAAATATTAATGTGGAACACCAAAATAGAAATTGAAACATGCTGTTATGTTTAGCCTGTTGTGAAACTCTCATTTCTCTGTCTTAGTTTATGGTATGCATGACTCCGTCAGTATCAGTAACAGAGTTTACATTAGCAGTGAACTGGAACTGTGTGTTCGTCCACAGCTGCTGAAGTATAAAATAAAGATGAAAACATGAAAATTTGCAGTCGAACATCGAAATGGACAATTTTTTTTTTTTCATATGCTTACTGGACACTTTATTGGGTACACCTGATCAACAAATTGGTGTAGCTGACATGAAAGCATCGCCCCATCTTGCCCTGTACTAACAGCTCAGGCTCCTGGTGTCATTTGAGAATCATTAAAACACCTACTTCAGTATTGTTCCTGACCATGCCCGTCACTTTATGACCACAGTGTACCCATCTACTGATGGCAGCTTCCAGTAGGATAACAGACCATGTCGCAAAGTTCAGATCATCTCAAACAGGTTTCTTCAACATGACGAGTTCACTGTGCTCAAATAGCCTTCAGTCACCAGAGCTAAATCCAATAGAGCACCTTTGGGACATGGTGGAAGATCATGGATGTGCAGCTGACAAATCTGCAGCATTTGTGTAATACTATCATGTCAATATGCACCAAAATCTTTGAGGAATTATTACAGCACTTTGTTGAATTTTTGCCATGAAGAATTAAGGCAGTTAAGATTCCAAAAGGGGGTTCAACCAGGTACTAACAAAGGTGTACCTAATAAAGTGACCATAAGTGTATGTAAGCATTATGGATCTGTTCCAGATATACACGCATTCGTTTTTGTCCAGTGAGTCTAAACCACTTGCACAGGTAGATATGTGTAACATTGAAAGAGATATTTCTCTTGTCCCAATGCAATTAGCATGATCATGATCATAGATCTATAATATTATATCAAAATGCTTACATTTTTTGGTGGACTTTATCTCTTTATCATCTAAATCATTATTGACTAAAATCTCAATGAGATAAACGCATGTAGAAGCGAGCCGAGCAAAAAGCTCAGGTTTCTCAGTTTCTGATGTTTTTTCTACTAATGAGCTCGGCACAGACTTCCATGATCGTAAGGAGTTTGCTATTATAGGCACTGATTTGGTGGGAAGCAATCAGGAAAGCAGGCTTTCCGAAAATTAATCGGGAGATTTTTTTTTTTCTTCATAAAGGAGCCTTAAAGCTAGTCTTTCTCATACATCTATATGAGACACGTTACATCAGTGTTCACTTCAGTGGATCTCAAAGATGATTGTCAATGTAACAACTCCACCTAGTGTTCGAAAGCTTTATTGGATCTTTTTTCTTTTTCACTCCAAATGCCTTGTAGCCTGCGCTTGTTTCTGTGCCTTCTGAGCACAGTACTGTGTGTCATGTGAGCCTCAATAAAAACTGATAAGATGTACCAGTGCATTGTTAACCTTTTTGTTTCTCTCTCCTCATCACATGCAGCTGTTTGGAGATGTTTGCTACCACTGCAATCGTGTCATTGAAGGCGATGGTGAGGAAGTTAATTTTAATAAATATAATGTATAATGGCTGTTTACATCAGCATTGTTTTGTTTTTTTTACTTTTACTGCTTCTTTATTATATTGAATTTAACTTGATTTCTTCTCATGGCTTGCCTTGAGAATTATTTGTAGCCTGAACTTCACACCAACATTAGTTTAATTTAAACTATAGGTCTACAATCTGCCTCATGTGGCTGCTCCTTCTGCTTTTTTCCCAGTGGTGTCTGCTCTTAACAAGGCGTGGTGTGTCAACTGTTTTGCCTGCTCTACTTGCAACACCAAGCTCACCCTGAAGTAAGTTTTGAAGACAATTCAAGCTGAATTATGAATCTCTGAAGGCTCTCTGTAGACTTTCACATGTGATATGTTTGACGGTTTCTCTGTGTAGTCTGTCACGTTTCTTTTCACTATCCTCCATATGAGACTGTTTGCTGCTGCTACCAAACTGTTTTTTCTTACCTTTCTCTGATGGCTTATTTCTTCACCTCACCTTCCTTTCATCGTCCTCCTGTCTTGTCCCACTTTTCCCCTTCCCTCTCCTTCATTCCTTTCCCTTCATCTTCTCTCTCTGCCCCTCCTCATGTCTTCCTCCTCTTTCACATTTCCATCTCTGCTTCCTCCCTGCTCTATCAGGGATAAGTTTGTGGAGGTGGATCTGAAGCCGGTGTGCAAACACTGCTATGAGCGCCTCCCTGATGACATGAAACGTCGGCTGGCCAAGCGAGAACGTGACTCAAAAGAGAAGAAGAAGAAATTGATACCCATGTGTCTGTGATCCCTCTCTTTCTGCTCTCTCCTTACTTCAGCTGATTTTTCCTTTGGTCAGTTTTTGTCTTCCTTGCTATCTGTTTCAGTTTTTTCCTACTTTCCATGCCACTTTTAACCCTTAGATCACTGATACACTGAGTTCAGTTGGCTTCCAAGGCATGAAACAAAAATACGAGCAGAGAATTGTAGATGACTGAGTATATCTGAGTGACGTAAGACCGGGAACATTTCAGCAAAATGTTCTTTTCCTAGTCGGAAATGCTAGTAAGGATTTAAGCCGGTACTCTTGTAAACTCTGCTGTGCAAACAGGAAAATCAGATCAATCACAGGTTGAAGGGAAAGCTTTGTTTCATGGGTCTCCCAGTCTGTCTGGTGTAAGGCGCAAAGCCGAAATCATTTCCGGCAGCTTTCTGGCATCAGCTGTTGAAATTCCGAGGTCCTAACAGTTATGACACGTGCGCCGCTCCATACAGCGATTATCTACTTTGGGAGGGAAGGCTGTTCAGGGGCAGCTGGCGGAAATTGGTTAGGGAGCTGGCCAAGTTAGTAGAAGTGAACACAATCAGAAGGCACCCAAAGACCTTCGACATCTCTGTAAATATTTTCTTGTAACTCTGTGTCAGCACACACACTGATTTCTGTCAAGGAAAACACAGCCAAGATTCTGTTCATTCAGGAATTGTTATTCATCAAAAGGCATTAAGAATGCCCATGAATCCCAGCATTAAACAGACATAAATTAGGACTGCTTGAAAAACAATGATCAGAATGACTTCATTTAAAGTTGAGACTGCAATTATTAAAAGAGGGATGCGTGTTTCTGTCATCTTGATCATGTCTCAGCCTTGTAGGGTGTCAGTTTTTGTTATGAAGGGTGGGAAAAGATGAGGTCAAGTTGAAAGAAAGGCAGATGTGAAATGTAAATATTAGGTCAGAAGTCAAATGTGACATGATACTTTGAATGCAGAGTATAATGTGATTTTTAGAATCCCCGTATATCAGTATCCAAATTTAAGTCTTAAGTTAAGACAGTTGTCTTCTTCTTGTGTATTGTCTTAAAGATAAAAATATGATTAATTGCAGCACCCTACCAGAAACACACATGGGAAGGTGTGCATCTTTGTCCAGGATTTGGGGTTTTGAAATAAAGGTCTGAAAAATAACATTCAAAATTCAGACGTTGCTACGTCCAATTTTTGCAGGAATCAGAGTTTTAATGATGGAATTAAAATGTATTCAAAAAATTGGATTTTAAAAGTAATCTCAAGTCTCAGTAGGTCTGAGACTTGTCAGAAACGGGCTTCTGAAGGAATGAGATCATTACAGTAATGCTACACATATCTGTTACAAAATAGCAAATAGGTCCTCTCACCTGGAGACAATATCCTCTACTGATCACTGACCAGTCTTCTGAAGTACAGCTGTTTCTCTCTCTCCCACAGGAACAAGTTTGTGGAGTTTGACATGAAGCCGGTGTGTAAGAAGTGCTATGAGAAATTCCCCCTGGAGCTGAAGAAGAGACTGAAAAAGCTGTCTGAAACTGTTGCAAGGAAGTAAAAACACAGTGGAGCAGCTGGAGAGGGAAAGATAGACGTGGCCGTGTACAAGCCCAGAATAAAAATAAAGAATTTGTGTGTTTTGCAACTGCTCTGTTGCATTTAGGTTGGTTATAGCTAGAAAGCATTGCGCTTTCAATTTCATGTGCCTGCAGCCGGCAGCTCCGCAGTCACATTGTCGGTCTGACAGCTTTAACATTGTGCCTTGTACCATTTTTGCAGAATTGCTCCACTGTGTGTTTTACACATGCCTGCTAATTTCCTATATTTAAAAAAGTGACATGAGTTTTAAGAGTACATAGAAAGCTGGAGGTAATATGATGACTTAAAAGCTTTGCCACCACCTTTATTGAAAAATATAACTGCTTCATTATTATAACAATCAAGTAAGCCCAAAGAAAGAAAATGTCCTAAATGTGTAAATAACCTAGAATATTTCCAACTTGTATCATTTTATGTAATAGTAGTGTTTATTTCCATTAATATTATGCATAATAAGTATTTTGTCTGCCTTTTTTTTTGTTTGTTTTTTTGGACCTACATTTTAATATACAGCATGCTACAGAGGTGGACTCGACCATCACCTGCAGTATGTTGGATTGCCTTGTTACTGTATGTGCTATGTATCTTTGTGTGGCATGATCTCTGTGCAAATTGGTATTTATTCAGCTTTTTTTTTTTTTTAAGTTTGCGTTTACAATCTGAATTAATTCAATACAGCCAAAGTGCCGAGGGCGAAATTTTGATTTATTAAATACATGTGAGTGAATAACTGTTACCTGTCAGTGTTCTATAAAACAATCCCTCCCCCGCCTCGATGTGCTGTCAACAAATATTGATCATAACAAGCGTCTGAGCCACAGGATTTATTGAATGGTTACTGCAAACTCACTGTGTGTTACAACATGAGGGCTTGTAGCATGTACAGAGACCGGATGTGGGATTGATGTTGAACGTTTCCTCTGTTGTTTGTAATCCAGGGAAAGTGATCCTCTTAGGGAGGTGTACCGACTTCCTCGGGGCTCAGACCCACTTAGGAAAGAAAGCCAAACTGGTCTCATTCTTGCAGAATGCTTCACATGAGCTGCATTTTATCACAAAGCTTTGCTTAAAATACAAGCTCTATAGATAAACACATTCCACTATTTTATCATTATAAAGTGTATGTTACTGCTGTGCATTTCAGTGCAGATGGCACAACTTTCTCTAGGTCATATAGAAGTAAAACTATCCGCTGGGCTGATTGTTGTGAGGCAGAATTTCGGCACCTCGAGCCACAAATAGTTCAGTGCATGGTTTTATTTGATACTTTACTACTCTGATGGACTGAGATGACTCTGTGCAAACAGATACTGCTCTGATACTGGATATCATCATTGCAATGTTTGCGAGCAGATTTATTCATGTTAACACACCAAAGTGCATGTTCTCAACTTGAAATTTGGAAAGTTGTTTATTATATTTAATGTTGTTCTGACACTTCATCAAAATAAACACATATGCCAATGCTACCGGTGTGTGTGTGTAGTGATTTATTTGGTTTACAGCTTCTTACCATTCTCGAAGTGTAATGTGAAACCAGCAGCAGGCTCAGGATTCACAAGTGTTGCGTAATGTTTAATGACACCCCAATTTTCACATATGTTGCATTCGGGTCCACGTTAAATGGGAACATGCTTGATTTTTATGTTTATCAAGTATATTAGCAGCATCTCCACATTCTCATATACACACACATATGAAATGACTCAGAGGACTACTAATGGACATTATGCACATGTGTGCAACACTAAACAGCCATTAGCATCTGCAGGATAGTCAATATGACAATCATAATCTGAAACAGCATCCATCTAACTTCAGAAGTTATTAAGAGTACAAATCAATAGAGTTCAAGACAAAATTGTTGGCCATATCCAGATGTTAGCTAACTCTGTCACATTCAGCTAACAGAAAATAATTAGAAATACAACTGCAACATGTTTGACTATTAAAATACCAGTTCAAAACATAAACTGATAGAATAAATATTTATTACTAGAATTATGCTGTAAGTTTATACAATGACAATCATGCAGAGTATAAAACTTTTGGGAATAAAGTTAAAGATTAAAAAAAAATACAGGAAGATTAATCAGTGCACGATATCAACTAAAGAAAGGCAACATCCAAGATGATACATACTTACAGACAAAAGAACATCAGTTTTATTAATACATATCTTCAGAGTACACCAGCTGGAGTATTTTCATTTATATTCTACCTCCTTTTGCCTTCAGCACTGCCCTAATTCTCTGTGGCATGAATTCAATAAAGTTCTGGAAACATTTCTGTGAGATTTTGGTTCATGTTGAAATGATGGTTTACATTTTCAATAAATAAGAGATTACTGGTTTGATCGCAGGAGAAAACAAAAAATCTACCAAATCAAATATGTAGAATTACCTGCTGTGGTGGCCTTTTTACAAGCTGCTGAGTAGTACTGGCATGATAGCATCACGCAGATCCTGCAGATTTGTTCTCCTGTTCCAACACATCCCAAACGCGCTCTATTAGATTGAGATCTGGTGACTGTGGATGCCATTTGAGTGCAGTGAATTCACTGTCATGTTTGAGAAGGAGACAAGGAGAGTCATGCTACTGAAAGCAACCATCAGAAGAGAGGTGCATGGACATGATTAGCAACAATACTTAAGACTGCTGCATTTCAGCAATACTGAGTTGGTACAAAAGGGCCCCAAGTGTGCCTATAATTACCATTACAGCATCACAAGAATCGGAATCTTTTTTATAGTTGTTGTGCAATGGAACATTGATGACTTTTCTTTTTCTGACTATTGTTAGTCAATCTTAGATGTGGTTATGTGTAAAAATCCTAGTAGATAATCAGTTTCTGAAATCATACTCAGTTGACTCCATCTGGCACCAACAACCAATCACCCAAATCACTTCTCCATTCTGATGCTCAGTTCATAATGGGTGATGAATGTGTGTGTAGCTGATAAAGTTCAAATGGGCATTGCATATCACAGCTTTTCCTCGACAACTGCTACTCATTCACATGTGCAGAGGTTTTGATGAGAACACTTTGGAATAAAACAGGTGACTAAAAAGTGTTCTTAAATACAAAATACTTGACTGAAGCTTAACAACTGAAACAGACAGGAAAAATCTGCAAAGGTATCAGCCTATACAAATGGACATGATATAGCATGATTTGTTTAAGTTAATAGTATTGGTTACACATATACATGGTTTAAATATCTGTTTGTTTAATTTAATTTATGTAACAAAAGTTAGCCAAAATATTTAGCAAATTAAGGATTAAGGCTTAATTGTTGGAGAAATGAGGATTTTCAGGTATTTGTAACAGAACCCTTCAAACTGAAATGCGTCAGTCTGCGTCAAACTGAATTCTTGTTCTCATTGGTTAAGAAGTCACGTGACAGCTGCCGTTTGACGGCATTGAGACTGCGCAATACCATCATGGGGAGTTTACGTCAGGCGAGCTGATGTTCGCGTCAGTTTTGTTTTAAATATTTAGTGAATTTCTGGTTTTCTATGTATCACATTCAGCCGCTGTAGAAGCCCCTGACCTTGGAAGCTATGCGGCGAAGTAAGGCTGAAGTGGACCGTTACGTTTCCTCTGTACAGAGTTCCTCTCCCTCACTCAAAGAGGTAAGTTAAGCCCGCCGAGGCTAACGTTAGCATGCTGCTGCCATCATGTCAGATCAGCCGGTATGAGGTACGACCTGTTCACATGTTCAATGAGCACTCGTTGCTTTTTTGATTATGATGACGGTATTTCGGTTGACTCATATATCGTTCTCTGTATAACCCCCGTCCCCCGGATAGTCTTAAAGACTATAGCTAACCGGCCGGCATGATGACGCCCCGTCGTGTCCTCCCCTTTATACTCGGGGAAAATGCGCGGCATGGGATCCCTTGAACAGCGCCAGCTAATCAGCTATGCTAGTTAGCCACGACAGCGAGACAAAGCTAGTTGGATAGGGTGTGCAAGTTTCATTTCTCTGGAAAAGCGAGGTTTCGGTTCAGACAACAATTAAAAATTCTCGTTGCTTCATTGTATCAGGAGCAGCAAGCCCAACTTTGTTCAAAAACTGGTGGTTTTAGCATAATTGCAAACAGACTTGTCTGTTAATCAGGCACAGTTCCAACGTTTCTTGATTTGTTGTCGTTCTTTTTAAGTATTGTTTATTCGTTTATTTATTTGGATCGGATGTGACGGGGGAAACTGCTGCACCCACAGAAAATCAGAATATTTAATGAGAAATAAATGCAGTGTAAGAAAACATTGAATGCATCAGAATTCGGGCTTATCAACAGTCTTAAAGTGGCTTAACTAATAGTGATTAGTTCGAAAGTGTACTGAAATGACAAAGAATACAGAAATATATGCTAGTGTTATTATGAGATCTTGATCATTTGTTTTGTAGATATCTTTTTAATGTTGCAGCTGAAAATGTTGGTTTAATTGCTTATACATATCTACACCTACACCATGGCAGCATAATATGCTAGTCGATCAGTCAATTACTTGAGTAAATGTGGTGCTATGTGGTCAGTGGTCCTAACCATGCTCTCAAGTTGCTTTACCTAGTCAGGGTTTTGTTTTTGCGTAATTCCAACGATATTTTGGTCTTACATCAAAGTAAAGTCATCAGGATTGTGTTGTTTTTTTTTTTTTATTGATGTAGTGTGTGTGGTTTAATGTACTCAAGCTTAGAATACACTTTGTGTGCTTAAGATCAAAAGTAATTTAAAAAAATGCACGGACCTCTAGAATAGAATAAACCTTTATTATCCCACGAATGACAAATTTGGGTGTTACAGCTCCTAGAGCAAGGGGAATATAAAGTACCGTATAAAAGGAAGACAGCGGTCCTATATACATAAGCAACTGAAGTTTGTGTATATACAGGTAACAATGTATAGAAAAAGTAAAAAGTTAGGCCACCCGTTGTGCTTACATGCATAGTCACCCTCCCAGAGGCTTGTTTTCAGTCAGGAGAAACCTTGGTATTGTAAGATTAACAGTCTAGCCCAATGGTATTTGTAGAGTTGCACCAGTAAAGCCAAAAATGTAGTTTTGTTTGACAATAGATTCGCACTACTACACATACTTGTGCATTTTGTTGTGTACAGTAGTGTGTGTAGTCTGGAGACATTTGCCTGAAGAATTAAATCACAAGATTGGGTGTCAT